ACACACACACACACACAGACACAGGCACAGCACACGCACACACACACACACACCACACCACACCACACCACACCACACCACACCACACCACACCACACCACACCACACCACACCACACCACACCACACCACACCACACCACACACACACACACGCACACACACACACAGCACACACAGCGACACACACACACACACACACACACACACACACACACACACACACACACACACACACACACACACACACACACACACACACACAGACACACAGACACACAGACACACAGACACACAGACACACAGACACACAGACACACAGACACACAGACACACAGACACACAGACACACACACAGTCACAGATACACACACACACTCATTCACACACACATTCACTCACTCATTCACACACACATTCACACACACACACACATTCACACACACATTGACATTCACACACACACACATTCACACACACACACATTCACACACACATTGACATTCACACACACACATTCTCACACACGCATACACACACACAACAATTCCATTCCACTTGTGCCCTTGACTGCTGATTGTAGATATTATTGCTATATGTCCTATCATTGCTCTGGATGGTAGGACATGTTTATTCTCGGGCACCGAAGGCTGTTGACACCAGGTCAGGCTGGCCGGTACAGAAAGCTCACTCAGCGCCTGCCCCGGCCTGACGGCGTGGCTGAAGGACCCCAAAACGGAGAAGCCCCCGCGGCAAGCCATGGAGCGGCGACAGGCAGTGACAAGTCGCGATGGCGTGGCTAAGATTCAACGTCATGTCAGCGGAGCCGCAAGCGCAGGCGCTGCAGCTATAGTCCCCGAGGAGTTCAAGGGCTACCTCCAACAAATGGCCGACAAGACGCAGAGATGCGCCGGCCGACAAGCGTGTCCATGGGTGACTCTCGCAGCCTCCGGAACATTCTCAAAGACAAGAAGCTTCTGTTTTTGGGACGACTTTCAACGACGGGAACGTTGGCTTTGAGTGGCAACCGTGGTTGTTTGCCAACCGCAAAGGCCAAGGACCTATGACCTTGCTTGGGTGAGGAGGACACTGGGCAGAGACCAGGCGCCGCCCACTGTTGGCGTTCCCACCTTTTGAGCAAACTGGGGCGCGGCTGGTGGCCAATTCCACAACGATGTCGGGAACCGCTTCAGCGCGCGACTTTGTGATTGAAGGCGTGCGTCCACACGTCAGCTTCAGCCTTGCGGACACGTCGATCTGTTTTTGTTGCTGGCTCGGGGAACAGCTGTCACGGTGACTCTTGTTTGCTTGTTTTTTTTTGTGTTGGTTTTGTTTGTTTGTTCATGCGTCCTTCGTGTTCGATTGCTTGTTTGGTTGGCAAGTCGTGACCGAAGGAGCTGAACAAAGCCAGAGGGCATCCTCTGGGGTTGGGCTGGGTGGGCGCATTTAAACCAAACTCTTATGCCATGACTGGCGTTGGTGACTAGCAGGCGGTCCCAGCATCCTGCCAAACCTCAAAAAATGGCTGGCGGTGGGCGCACATAGCGGGCTTGCTTGCGATCAAGTGAGTGGGGTTTCTGCAGAAACGGGACTGGCGCCACTATGCGGAAAACGTCGCACATACCATGATTTGCAGTCATTTTGCCCAATTTGTGGCTCGCTGCAGCTGTTGGAAGTATGACTATCCATCTATTGCGCCGCTCAGGCATTGGGTTGGTCACGAAAGCCAGCCTCCTTTGGAGGCTTAGGCTGAGTTCAGTTTGGGCGAACGAAGTGAGTAATAGGGGGGTGCGGGCGGGGAGGACGTTTTTGGGCCGTTTTTGGGCCATACTAGAGGGGATTTGCCGCGTCCAATTTGAGCAAGTTTTTGGGCTGGAGTGGGCTGGGGATGCTGGGGATGTTGGAGATGCTGGGGATGCTGGGTCCTGGGTTGGTGATCGGAGAGGCTCTTTTTGGGCCGTGCTTCGGGCATACGAAGGGGGATTTCTCGCGTCCAATTTCAGCCCTTTTTGGGGCGGGGATGTCAAGAATGCCGGCCGCTGAAGTGAAAGTGCCCAGCATCCCCAGCGCTCCTGGACCGGATTCTTCCAACGAGGAGTGAAAGTGCCCAGCATCCCCAGCCCGCTCCAAAGGCACGTTAAGCACTCTTAAGTTCAGCACAGCCTGCTCACCTTGTCCAATTTCGTCAAGAATGCCGGCCGCTGAAGTGAAAGTGCCCAGCATCCCCAGCCCGCTCCAAAGGCACGTTAAGAACTCTTAACGGTGCTACTCAAGTTCAGCACAGCCTGCTCACCTGTCCAGGCGGCCCTCGGCATCCTTGTTGTGCTACAAACTACTCAGTCTTTCTCAGCACTCGTGGACCGGATTCTTCCAACGACGTCCCGCTTGACAGGATTTTTTTGGGCCGCTTCGGGCATACGAAGGGGGATTTCCCGCGTCCAATTTCAGCCCTTTTTGGGGCGGAGATGTCAAGAATGCCGGCCGCTGAAGTCAAAGTGCCCAGCATCCCCAGCCCGCTCCAGCACAGCCTGCTCACCTTTCCAGGCGGCCCGGCCTTGTTGTTCTACAAACTACTCGGTCTTCATCAGCACTGCTTTTTACAGCTTTTCCCCATGAGCGCTCCTGGACCGGATTCTTCCAACGAAGTGCCGCTTGCTCGCTCTGACGGAAGTGCCTTTCCACGGAGAAAGGCTGCACTGTGTCTCCGGGGGTCTGCCGTGTGGGCTGGGGCTGGGGGCGCACGCAGTTCCGTTATGGGGATGTTAAGCTTCACGGGGGGTTTCCCGCGTCCAATTTCAGCACTTTTTGGGCCGGGGCTGTGCCGCGCTGAAGGGCCCTTGCACGGGGAACAAGCTGGCTTTCGTGCGCTTCCTTCTCAGGTTGGTTCTTTGGGCGGGTGGATGGGCAGAGAAAGGAGCGTGCGTTGTTTGGAGCGCGCTCCACAACTTAATTCCAAGCCTGAACAGCCAACCAACCAAGCTTGAGCCAAACCTCAAGCAACCCAACCACACCCGCAACCCCAAAACATCCCCGACATCCCTGGCCTTGCGAGCATCCCTTGCCGAGAGGGGATGCCGGGGATGCAGTCTTCGTCTGATTGTTTTTGGGTGTGTGCCGCGCGCCGCGCGGAACACGCACGCACGCACGCATACACGCGTGGTAGGGCGGGTGGGTGGGTGGGTGGGTGGGCTGGTGGGAATGGTGGGAATGGTGGGGGGAGGGGAGGGCGGCGTGATTATGTTAAAGCATACACATAGTCTTTCTCCCATATGTGGCCACAAACTGAACTGATGATGGTACAAAAGGTTTATATACATCCCATCTTTCCCCTTGACTACATTCATGATGGTAAGCTCCATTTATGTATGTTTCCACATGTGCCCTTTACTAAGCTGGCCAGGGCAGAAAACAACATAAAATCCAGTCAGTGCTGATGATTGTGGAAGTGGTTTCTATACATCTTATGTTTGCCATAGACGAAATTGATGAAGGTAGAACATACTTACACAAATTCAACGTTCGGGCTTGAAGGTGTTTAGCAGAGTTTAGCGAGGTCAGTTGCGCCAGCGCCCAGCCCCCCTCGCAAGGCCAACCGAGCACAAAACCTTCTGGATGATCATGACTCAGTGCCAGGGTCTCAGCCAGCTAGAGAACTTTACAGTTTAGTTTTGGGGGGGAGATGGACGGTTCCTATGAAGGTCCCTTACTTGGGGATGCCTGATATTTTAATGATGCATGTTGTTGTTGGTTTAGGAATAATAGAACTTTGCCAGAGTTCGAGCCTTGCGCAAAATCTCTGGGGATAGTTGAGAACAGTGTTGGGCACCAAGGGTCTGCCACCAGTTCTTGCGGCGAGTGCAGCATGCCTTGACTTAGTTTTGTTTGAATTATAAACTGTGGTCCAGAAATATTTCTTGGGTATGATGGAACCCAAAAAAGGAGTGCCTCAAGGAGTTGTTTAAACGCGTTCGTAGCACAAGGTCGCACGCGTCAATTGGGGCAGGGTACGTTAGAGAAGTGGTTGGCAACCAGTTGGCAACCAAAGCCATGGTTGCATGTTCCTTCCGTTTTCGCAGGGTGTGTCAAGTAAGTGGTCAGCAATGGTAGCCTTCCAAAGCCATAACTTTTTTGGTCCGGGCCAGTCACCTGACGTACTGAATCAATCACCCCTTCAAGGGAACCATCCAACTGGTGCTTCGTTTGTGTAGAGACCGTTTGCTCTTCAAGTGACAACTTTCGATGGCACGATCGATGCCGACGTTGCAACTGTAGTGAATCATACTTTGGGTGGACAAAATCCATTTCGCACCCAACAAACCCTGGAAAGATGCGATTCCCGTAAAAATCCCCCAACAAACCTTGCGGTTTCAGCCATGGTTTCAAAGTGAAGCGAACAAATTTCGTGCATTCACAGTAGTTTGCTCATAAGATCCCTTCTCCATTCATCTATCTTGACGCTCTCAGCTCCCGACTCCCGACTCCAAATTTCCGCAGGCGCTCGGAACGCGGGATTTCTGCTGGGCCCGGGTATCTTTGCCCTCATCTCCCTTGCCGTGAAGCAGGGCCAAGATGTGGCGCCGGACCCTCGAAAAGCAACAGTTGGAAGGCTCCAGAGTCCTCGTTCCAGAGCCACGGTAGGTCAGGCTATGTTCACCCCGGTGGCTCGTCTTTTTTTGAGGGACCCCGCAAAATGGTGGTTTCCTTTTGGTTGCAAAGCCATTAAAACCACAACACTAGGGGGGCACCCCTAAAAAGACACCGATCTGTTGACCTTTTGATCCTCCTTTTTGGTCCATGTTTAGTGGGCTGGGTTTTATATACTAGGTTTCCCCTAGTTACGACTATACGCGCGCGGTTGTGTGTGTGTGTGTGTGTTTCGCGGACCCCCAAATAATGATTTTTTGGTTTGTTTCCCGGCCTTATACCAACCAAAAAGGAGGGTACCCCTAAAGAACGACACAGCCATATGATTGGTAGCTAAATCTACTTGATTTTGCAGACAAAGCTGACTTTCCGGTGTGCCCCCACTTCACCGGCGACAGGTCGACTTTTGGCGGGCCGAAGACCACGTTAAAAGGGAAAGCAGCAGGCACATTTTCCAGGCCAACCAAGATGTATCGCCCCAAAATGGTCGTTTCCGCTTTTGATCTTACTTTGCCCAGTGCTTCCAGTTACCCTAGTGGGTTTTTTACTGGAATCCATCCATCGTAAAACTCGGCGATGCCGAATTGTCATGGAAAACAGCCGCCTAACATCCGAGGCAAACCGTAGGTAAGCCTTTGCCATCTTCCGTTTAATCTTGGGGAGGTTCCCATGATGATGCGGGCGTGGTTCCTTTCTGCAGGGAGCCCCTTTTTGGTTGTTGTTTTTTGGGGAATCCCATTCCTTCAAAATACGAGCAACCCATACCCGGAAATGGAAAAAAAAAAGCCGCAGCTTGCTTGGAGCTTTGAATTTGAAAACCCCCGCGCAGAGCTTGAAGCCGAGGCATGTCTACTGGCATGGATGTACTGGGGACGCTCGGCGCAACTTAACTTGGCTCCCAGCCATCCCCGTAGCTTTTTTGCCTTTTAGTGTTTAGGCGGATTTCCATTCAACCCACTAAAAGTTAGTCACTTTTTGCGGGGGATCAGAGGGCAGCCCAGTTGAGTAAGAGAGGATCAGCGAATTAACATTTCGTGGATCCGCGGAGCCCATACCTTGCGACGTCTCGGCGGAAATGAAACCGGACGTGAGCTTTGGTGGAAAGAATGCCGGAATGATCCATTTGGGAGGGAGGGAGGCGAGCTCCGAATTTCCCCACAGAGACCAAGGGACGGGTTTGTCTTTGCATGTCCTCTTGGACCACCATTAAAACATGGGCTCTTCATGGGATCGACAAGTGTCAGGATGAGTTAATGCTTCTGAGAACCACCCTTTCAAGAATGGAAGGCAAGGGGATGGTTACAAGTAATTCGAACCTCCTTTTAATTGATTTTTGTCAGCAGTTCTCAGTAACCTCCCTTAGTTCGAACCTCCTTCAATTACTGAGAATCTCCTTTTTAATTAAACCCACCACTCGCAGCATTGGTTTCTGTTTAATTAATTCTTGTCAGTAGTTCGCAGTAACCTCCCCTAGTTCGAACCTCCTTTACTCAGAACCTCCCTTTACTTGCTGGCAAGTCGGAACTCGGTAAGTGGCAGTCTACTGCGGGACGAATGAGGCGGGACTTGGCCCCAATTTTTGTCAGGAGTCAGGAACATCTCATTGTTCCGTGCTCGTTGGTATGTGGCGAAATGGCTGTGGGTCAAAACGGCCATACTCAAAATGGAGCCTGGAACCTGCGGTCCTCACGGATGACATGATCTCTTTTGCAAGGGAGATGAGAATTAACCTGAATTCAATGCACTGCAGAATTCAACCTTCAACCTTCTTCAATGCAACCGTGATTGGGAGCAATCCTGCTATTCCTATGTGAAAGAAGGGCCCAGGCAACACCCTGCTTGCCGTTAGAACGAACCTCGTCTCAATCGGTGCTTGGCAAACGACCTGCCAACTCAACGGGTGATTCGGTGTTTTCTTGAAAACTCGCAGCTTTTGGCCGAAGATCCAGCCAGATCTCGGCGATGGTCGGATTAGCTGCTGGGGGTTGTGTTCGGCTCCTCCAAAATGCAGCCGTTCATGTCTTGTTCGTTGCAGATTGGAATGGTTTGCAAGCCCAGAACTAATCAAAGTTGTGCTTTTCGAAGGGGATCTCTGCAAGTGAGGCTTGGCGCCCCAATGCTTTGAAGGTTACCTGGACCCTCAAGCTACCCGTAAACATGGGACACCGCCCATTGTTCGGGCCATATTCCAAATTTCAGGGCAGTTTGGATGGTCAATGTGCCCCTCCTCGTGTTGCTCAGTGCTTCCGGTTCCCATGGTAGGTGAAGGGTAGAGGTAAGTTCAATGCCACTGGTTACCTTCCTTTAGTTGAAAGCGTTCATGCCCAAGCTAGAGCGAGTTTCTGGGATCCATTGCCCAGATCCCAGGTCTTTCGCCACAAACCCTTCGCCATGTTCCTTTCAGTCTTTCCACTTCGCCGTTTTCTCGTGGTCTGCTAGAAAAACGAGCTACAGGCGTTTCGTTTCTTTCCCACAAAGCCGTCGCCAGGTTCCTTTCAGGGAGATGGAAAACCCCTTCTAGCTCCCCCCCTAGTGCCCTTTCCCCCTTTTTGGGGGGAGGGTTCCCCTACTAAACTAGACTACATAAAAAAAGCAAGTAGAAATCGGGTACCAACTTTTTCTAACCTCTCCACTGAAAAAACCAAGCCTTGCTTTCGGAAACGGATCCAGGGAAGCCGCTGGTTGGGCGATCGATCCGGCGAGGAAACATCTGCCTCACCTTGCTGCAGCTCCTCTTCGCCTCCCTAGTGCTGCCCACCATCCTAGCGCCACCCGGCAGAAGAGGGGGGGGGGTGGGAGGTGGGGTGGGGGCGGAGGTGGGGGGGGAGGTGGGGTGGGGGGGGGATTGGGGAGGAGATGGGGGGGGAGATGGGGGGGGGGGGGATTGGGGGGGCGGTCAAACGGGTGCGGAAAACAAAAACGCGCCTGGGTGGAATGGAATTTTCCCGTTTTGGGTTGGGATGAAGAAGCCGTTGATTTCCGATTGAGTGGTTAAAAAAAGACAAGAGGTGACGGGTGTTCCATGTTTCCAACTAGTATTTGCCAAGATCGATTCAGGTCATTTCTGAAACCAGGGGACACAGACTTCAGGTTGTACAAGGGTTGCTTAGGGCTTTTACTAATTCAGTGGGTCCCAGACAAGCCACTATACCAGGCAACAAGAAATGTTCGCTTTTATCAGGTTTTAAGGGTTCTTGGTTGCTTGCTAGGGAACTGGAATCGCTGGGAAAGGAAGGGATTTCCGGAAGTCGGAAATTAGAAGTCAGGTTTTAACTGAGATGTTCTTTGAGTTGGGCCATTGCATAATCAACATGAACTGGGTGAGCTGTTGAATAGGTTCTGACACATGGCTTCCTTTTGGAAGCCAGACAAAAAGGGATTGCCCGTGGGCGCATGTGAACGGGTCTCCGAATTGCCTGGGCAACGCGCATCCGTGCCCTAGGATGCCAAGACCTGAAGCCTTAAGCCTGGGCCTTTGACACCAAAAGACCTCAAATGGGATGAATCATTCGTAAGGTTGACCCCACATTCATCAACCCCAGTTTATTTATAAGGGGATGGTGTTGGCCCCTCCAAGAGTGATGTCTGATTCCAACCAGCAAACCCAGGGAGAAGCACCCCCGTATTAATAGACTGGGGTTGATGAGTGTGTGGTCAACATGATTTCATTCCCATTCCATTTGGTTAAGATTGTTTTTTCTTTCCCCTGTTGGAATTAAAGGGGAATCGATGTTCGATTTCACTGGACATGTCTTCTCTGATTTTCCAGGGGAGCGAACTTCAGCAAATGGAGGGTAGCGGCCGGCCTTCTGGGCTCAGTCTCAAGCACAGCAGCCTTGGCGGCCAGCCATCCGGGCCCTCAGCGCTTTTCAGGCTTTTCGGGGTTGAGTGGTTGGATTTCCATTTCACCCACTCAAAGTTGAAGTTAAACTTTTCGTAGGGATCTGAGGGCAGCCCAGTGGCGAAAAGCGCCCGGATCGGATCCGGGAGGCCTCTGGGAACCCAACTAGGTCTTATCAGTAGTGCCCTTTCTCACCCGTTCCTTTTTTGGTTGGGAGGTTTGGTTCCCCTACTAAAGTAGATGTCCTGAAAACAATTGATACCCTTTCTAACCTCTCAAATCTGGAGGACCTAGCCAAGGCCGGCCACCGACTCGGCGGCTTCCTCGTCGCCCTCTTCGGCCTCAGCGTCTTCCGGCGGACTGGAGGTGTCGGTGGCGGAGCTGAAGCCGGCGCAGCGCCAGAGGCGACCGGGCCTATGTGCCATGGTCATGTTGACCCCTACGATTTGTTTAGGTAGGGCAGGGCTTCTTAAAAGATACATGTTGCCCATTTGAAACATGGCTTTTTCCATCAGAATAAAAGGAAACCGCCATGTACAAGGCAATGTTCAGGTGTATAATGTAAGGATCCCTGTAGGGATTGCTTCCCGAACAGGGAATTCTCTTTGGCAAGCGTTTTGCCAAAGGAGGTTAGGACTGAACAACTTGTTGCCAACGAATGGGTTTTCCGCATGAAGCCGCTAAAAGTTATAAACTTTGAGCAGGGGAGCAGAGAGCAACCGAGGATGGTTGCGGAATCCTCATTTGGGCACCACCGTTCGCAAACCTTGGAAAGATTCGAGTGCCGTGTAAATCTCAATCGATGGTTGCAACCATGGTTTCTTGGGTGGTGCGAAATGGAGTTCGGTGCGTTTGCGCGCTTTTTATGAGGGTACTTGTTTGGGGGTTTTCCAAGGGTTCCAAGAGGTCTTTTTGGGATTGGGGACAACCTTGTGCAGTCCCTCAGACGTGCGAAACCGGTGGGAATAGTTGCAAGGCCCCAAACACGCGTAGCATAGAAAACAACTTCTCAGGCCCTGAGCAGTTTTCCATCGCTGTGAGACCCTCTCATGCGTATGCACCTCGTCGTTTCGATTTTAGTTGCGTCACCTTGGAAAATTTGTTTGCCCATCCCTCACCACGGCTGAGCTCGCTCCACATTGCACTGGTCCACGACCGTCCTACTAAGCTCAAGTTCAGGGGTCTTCGTGCCGTTGCACACATCAGCCCCTATCTAGGCCAGTCTGTCGGCTTGCACGGCTCTGCTGCCAGAAAGCCACAGACAGTTGCAGCGAGTCCGCGTGTTTGGGACCCCCTGCAGCTTTGAAGCCGCAGGGTTAGGGAACTGCCGCAATC